GGGTCTTGTTCACGAATGAGGGAAAAATGGAGCGTGAGATCTATAGGCGGATAGGTGCAGCATCTGCAGTGAAGCGGATGCTGTACAGATCTGTTGTGGTGAAGAGAGAGCTGAGTCAAAAGGCGAAGCTCTCAATTTACTGGTCGATCTACGTTCCTACCCTCATCTATGGTTAGGATGCCTCCTGGATGCCTCCCTGGTGAGGTGTTCCGGACACGTCCCACCGAGAGGAGACCCAGAGGAAGACCCAGGACACGCTGGAGGGACTATGTTTCTCGGCTGGTCTGGGAATGCCTCGGGATTCCCCGGAAGAGCTGGCCCAAGTGGCTGGGGAGAAGGAAGTCTGGGCCTCCCTACTTAAGCTGCTACCCCCGCGACCCGACCCCGGATAAGCAGAAGAAAATGGATGGATGGATAGATGCTTCTCACAGAAACACGGCAGAGAACCTGAGTTTATCCATCTATGAATGCCACCTTGATGGCTGTTCTATTATCGGTGCGCCTCGACGGGTGCAACGGGCTGGAGGACTGGCTGAGAGGTTCTCCTTGTTAGACCCTTGTTTATCAGGTTCATGTTTCACTCAACAGTCACTGTTGAGCTAGTTTAGACTGAGTTCAGGTCATCAAAAGCCTGGTCCTTGGATAAGTGACACAGTTCAGGAGGAGAAACTGTTGTGAGGTGGAGCAGTGAGGTGGAGCAGTGAGGTGGAGCAGGTATGGAAATCAGGTCAACTTGACGTTCAGACTTTACCTGAAGGAACTAAAGAATTCCTTAAATGAGTCTATTAGAAACGGCAGAACTCCGTTTTTACTCTTTACATCTCACTTTCAACAGATTTTGGCTCCCAAATCAGTACTTAAGAAACCCAACGTGGATCCAACAGAATCAAGACATTTCAGACCAATATCTAAATGAACATTTTTATCAAGCTGTTAGAAAATGTTCTTCCACCGTTTGAAATAAACATGACATTTTGGACAAGTTTCAATCAGGTTTTCGTGAAGTTCACTCCACAGAAACTGCTTTACTGAAGGCTACCAGTGACATCTGATGTCAGCTGATTCAGGGCACAACACAGTTCTGGTCTTACTGGACCCATCTCAAGATCTTAACCATCAGACTGCAGAACCATACTGGGTTATCTGGTTCTCTCCCCAGGTGGTTCTCATGGTACTTGTCTGACTGGAGTTTTAATGTTTCTGTAAACAGGATCATGTCAGACTCTACAAAGCTGTCTTGTGGTGTACCTCAGGGTTCTGTTTTAGGACCTATTTTATTTATTCTTTATATTTCCCCTCTTGGACAGGTAATTCAACAATTTAAAAATGTTCAGTATCACTTTATGCTGATGATATTCAGCTCTACTGCTCATTCAGATTAAGTGAGTTTCATGAACTCAAGTCCTTAAACTGCTTGGCTAACATTAAACACAGACAACTCCTGACAACTGAACTCCCATCAGACCAAATCTGATTACTGTCCCTGAAAACAAGGTTCTTCAGATTAAACAGGTCTACAGTGTCTCAGGTGCTTCAGTTCAGTCCAGCCTCAGAAACTTGGAGTCATTTTTGATTCTGTGATGTCTTTAAAACAACAGACCAGAAACTGTCTCTTCCATCTCAAGAACATCTCCAAACTGAAAAGCTTCCTGTCACAAACTGAGATGATCATTCATGCTTTTGTTTCTTCTCATTTGGACTGTTGGAACAGCTGATTCTCATGTTTAAACCAGGAACTGGACTGTCTTCAGGTTGTCCAGAACTCAGCTGCAGGACTGTTACCTCATACATCAACAAGCTCACATCCCACCCGTTACAGAGTTTTAGTTTGAACTTCTGGAGCTTTGATTATACTCTGACTTGGTTCAGCTCCACACACCGTCTCGCAGGTTAAGGTCTCTGATCAGTGGCTGTTGGTGGTACCAGCACCCATTTTGAATCTCGTGAGGATCGATAGTTTCAAGCGGTTGCCCCCCCGACTTTGAAAGCTCTTCCTCCATCTTTACGCAGCCTAAACTGAATTAATGCTTTTAAAAACATCTGAAGACGTTCTTTTACAGACAGGTAGAGTTTTGGTATGTTTTACCTGCAGGTTTCTACGCTGTTATGTGTATGGGTGTTTAATTGTATTTTGATGTATCTTATTAATATTCTACTGTGATGCACCTTGTGATGTTATATCTATGAAAAGTGCTGTATAAATGAACTTGACTTACTTGTGTCTGTTAGCTTCCTGCAAGACGTTTTAAACAGGAAACATTCCTTTTAAATCTGTTCAAAATTACCTAATTTAAACATCAAACCAATCTCCTAAAATAAAAGACTATAATACATCTAATAAAAGTCAAACAAATGAACTGAATGAGACTAAAAAACAAACTGACTGATGCTCTCCTCCGGCTGCCGCTCCTTCAGCAGAACTGAAACAAAAAACACAAAAAAAACTCAACCAGTGTTTCTCCTTTAATATTTACTACACATGTAAACAACAAACTGAACAACAAATTCAGTATTGAACAGCGTGAAGGAACACAGCCTGGTACTCAGCTGTTACAAAGCTCCGCCCATTTTTGGGAGAAAATAGCTCATCCACTTTGACAGAAATTGAAACCTCCTGAGGTGATTGTTAGGAAAACAGAACAAAATAAAACTAGAATCGTTTTGAAGTGTTTAAGAGCTCACATATTATGTCAGATAAATAAATGTTTATTGTTACCGTCGTTTGAATAAACTTTCATAAATATCGATTAAAGTTCAGCAGATTGGACAAACCACACCTACAGTCGACCTGAAGTCACTAATCTCTCCTTTTATTGCTCTTTTGTGTTTGACCAGTAACTTTTAGGCAAACTCACCATTATTTCCAGTTTGACACCAGCAGTTTTATAATAATGACCTACTCCAAAAAAGGGGCGGTGCTATTTGTTTTGACCCAAAAAGAGGTGGAGCTATTTTAAAAGTAGCAATGTTGATCTGACTGTCAGCATTAAAGTAAAAACCTTTGAACGGTTTTAAGAAAGAAACAAGTGACACGTTTAGTAAAATGTGAATAAAGAAGTGAAAAACATTCAGATCATTCTCACGTCTTTAACAAACATTAAAGTTTATTACAACAAAATGTTCAGCTGCAGCTGACACTCACCTCCTGTGCTGTCGATGGTGTTGGTTTCCTCCTCTGAAGATAAAATAAAAAAATGGAAATTATTATAAAGTCAATAAATTAGTGACAGAAACAAAAGATTCAACTGACCATAAGTATGTCCGCTGTCGTCTGGATCATCTGACAAAAGAAACAACACAAAGAGGTTTGGTTTGAGTCATGACGAGAGCAAATGCTCACACGTCTAAACAACCGAAACAAAAGTGATCATTTATGAACTGGATGTTCTCTGAAAACATTTAAAATAACTGAGTATTCCTGCGTTCACAGCGGCGTTTAACTGACCAGGAACAAAGTCGTCTTCCACCGGTGGAGGCAGAGGAACGGCAGCTGGAGACAAACGGAACATGTGGAAACATCTGGTGAGACGTTACAGACGCTACGCAGCACTGACCATCAGCAACTCCCGCAATGCTAACGCTCAGGATGTGACGTGCGTTTGTTTCCTCAGAGCCGTTTTCTTGGGCAGAGAAATACGTTTACGACGTTTTATGGTTCCTACTGAGAACACTTTGAGGTGTTTGTGTGTACGAAGCGTTGAAGCACCAACATCATCTACACTTGTTGTTTTTGTAGAGGAGAAACGTGATGCTCACGACGTGGCTGTTTGGACTTTACTTAAAGACAAACTGTCAGAACAGAACGACAGAGAGCCGCTGAAGAAGAGCCAGAAGATGGAGGCTGAGAGCACAGAAGAACCAGAAACTGCAGAATGTAAACAAAACATGACGCTACAACAACGAAAACTTACGCTTACTTTCTTCATGTTTTGATGAAAACAACATAAATAATCCAGACAACAAGCAGGTGAGCATGCAGCAGCAGCAGCAGCAGCACTGAAGGACCAACCTTGGATTTCAGACTCCACATCCTGAGATCCAGAGGCTGCAGCAGACAGAGTCAAAAGTTAACGAGTCGTCGTGCCAACAGGTCGCCATGCCAACGCATCAGCTCATACAGGTGACAGGTAAAGTGTGCTCCTTCAGGTTTGTCTAACGCTCAGTGAGTTAAATCTGAAAACAGACCTGATTACGAAGAGCATATTTTAATTTTTATTAGAACAAGGACTCAAAACACTGAACATCAGTAATTAATCACGTGCCATAATTGTTCTCTTCACCCAGCGATTAGTCAGGGTCATGAGTCTCTGCTCAGGTTTTGCTGGGAACACCTGGACTGAAGGTCAACAAGAAGAAAAACAGTTCTTATATTTATTCCTATAAAAGCTGTTTCCATGTCTGACCCAAACAGACTGATGAACTGAAAACTGATCATCAATAACCTGTAGGTGATTCCACTGTGTTGCATGGAAAGCACCAGAAAACTGAAATTATCATGCAAACTTGACGAAATCTTCTAGTTTTAATAAAAGCCTGTTTAAAATCTGAGCTTTAGTTGCCATTCTTAGTGTGGCCCATGGTTTCTGTTAGAAGAAGAAAGGCTCAGGTTCATCTGTGGACAGGTGTCCTCACACACCTGGTTCACTCGATGCTTCAGGTGACGTGACCTTGAGCGGGTCGTTGTTCTGTTGATCTGCATCTCCACGAGCCGGTGCTGCAGCATCAGGACCGCTGGTTTCTGCGGAACGACACACAGGAATGTGTTGCTCACAAAGGTTCTTAGAAAGTTTGTGAAGATCTTCTGACAATGTTTCATATTCGTTCATTTTCTCATTTTCACAGGGAGCGGTGGAGCAGAGGTTAGACAAGGCGAGCCTGTGATCAGAAGGTCTCCGGTTTGAATCCCCTGACCATTACATCAAAATGTGGATGGGAAAGGTGAAACACCCACACCTGCCTCCATCCTTACTTGGCCCATGTGGGGCCCTTGAGCAAGGCCCTTAACCCCGACCATCTGCTCCCCCAGGCGCTCTAGCTGGCAGCTCTGTGCTCCACACAGAGGGCTGTGGTAGTTCGGTGGTAGTTCGGTGGTCTGTGGCTGCATCTGGTGTAAAAACAACTGTCAAGTCTTTGTGTGACTCCTGAAGAAGGGAGCAGCCGAAAGAAGAAAAACATTTTCCAACAACATTAAGTCAGGTCCTCTGGACGGTTTCTTTTTGTTTCAACGTTTTAACAGAAGGAAACCATGCAGAGGACCTGACTTAATGTTGTTGGATTTTTCTACCCGGATTATTGAGCATGAATCAGGATCTTTTCTCATTTTCACTGACGGGTGACACAAAAACAGCTCTCAATAATTTAGTGCTAAGAAAATGAGAATGAGCCGAAACACGTGTATAGATCAGGAAAACTTGGCTCTAACTTCTGATAACAAAACATCATCGAGTGGAGATATTAGTTTTAACCCCAAAAGGGGTGGTGCTATCTGTTTTAAACCAAAAAGGGGTGGTGCTATTTGTTTTAAACCAAAAAGGGGTGGTGCTATCTGTTTTGAACCAAAAAGGGGCGGTGCTATTTATTTTTGCCCAAAACATGGTATGATTAAGATGAAACAGATGAAAAACTATATAAAAAAATTCCTCACAGACGTTCAGGTCGTTTACGGCCTTATCACCTGGAACTTGCCTGGTCTCATCTGATCTCGGAAGCTAAGCAGGGCAGGGTCTGGTTAGTACTTGGATGGGAGACAGCCTGGGAATACCAGGTGCCGTAAGCTCTGGGGGGCAGCTGTGGTGTAGTAGTAGTAGGGCAGCCAACTTGGGACCAGAAAGTCGCAGGTTCAACTCCCCGCCATGCCCACATGTCGTGGTGTCCCTGAGAAAGACACATAATCCCTAACTGCTCCTCGGGTGCTTAAATGGCTGCCCACTGCTCCACCCGGGTGTATCTCAGGTGTGATGGGTTAAATGCATAGAAATAATTTCATCATCGTACAGTAACATACGATGATGACAACACACGGCACTTTCTTCTTCTTAATGGTTTTAATTTGAAGTTAATGTTAAAACCCAGTTCTGTTGGATCCCCAGCTCACTTTAAAGCAGAACCATCAGTTTAAACGGGTCACAGAAAATTGGACTTTCCATGAACAAACTGTTTTCTTATCTTTAACACTTTTTAGATTTCACCACAGAACGTTCAGCTCATTCACAGTCTGATGATACGACACTAACTTTGCACCTTCATTTAAAAACTTCTTATTTTTTACATTCTTTCATTTTCTTCTACATGAATCCAAATGCAGGAAGTTTTGTTTTCTTTCACCCAACGTGGCTCTCTGCTGTAAGACGGAAGGTTTTCCCATTTAACAATCTCAGATGATCCTCTTTGACCCAAAGTCTTGAAATTAAACAAATCTCAGGTAAAATCCTTCATTCTTAGGAAATCCCACTTAAAATCAAACAGCTGAACTATTTTACGTGTTTTTACAAATGTATAAATTTATGGCCCTTAATACACTCAGGTGTATTGAGTTAGCGTCAGATCATCCCAGACAGGTGGTCCTGGTCCTGGTTTTCCTTCAGTCAATCGGTTTTCTGTCAGATTAGTGTTACGCTCCCCGGGCACACCCTCAGTTCTGATTCTCAGGTATCAGGTCAGTCCCGACCCATTTGTGTTCGTGACAGAAGACAGAAAACAACCTTCTCAGTGGTTTTGTTTCCTCACCTGTGTTCTCTCCAGGTGAACCTTCCTCCTTCAGAGTCTTGGCCTCCTTCAGTCCTGTTCGGGGTCCAAAACGTACACGTTTAAAAGTCATACAACAGCCGGCACAAACACAAAACTGTTTGACAGTTTTTACCATTTTAACAAAAACAAAGTCACCAAAAGTAAATTGAAGGAAAAGTCTGTCTGCTTGAAAGGAAATATAATAAAATGGAAACTGGGTCAAGAGTTTTTGAAAATGTCTGGGGGCTGGACCCTTGGTCTGATTGTGAGATGGACTCCCGACTAAACACATGGCAGCGTTTCCTACGTCAGCAGTCCTTGGCACCAATCTCTGCACCCGACACTTAGCAGAACTTGCGGCGGTGGTGGGTGGGTGGAAGTTTTTGGTAGGCAGGGTGCTCCGTTCTGTTGACAGGGCGGGGCGCCCTCCTTGGATAAACTAGGGGAACCACTGTATAGACACATCGTCATAAATCTGTTTTTATTGTTGGCAAAACGGTATCTGAGGGATAGAAATTAATCAAGACTGCCACAAACTGTGAATTTGAAGTAAGATAATTTGTATTACTCTGAAGGTTTGGACATAATTTCTAATTATTTCAAAACAAGAGTTTAACTGAATTTGCCCAAACACATCCTGCAACAGCTGACCATGTTTAATAAAATAACTTTTCTTATCAGAACCTGCAGTTTTTACAAATCAACAGAAGAATAACATGGAGGATTAAACTGTACGCTGATGATACAATTCTGGTTTTAACCTCGTCGACATCACTAATCTCTGTTCTCCTGACAATTGTTAATAAAAAAACAACAACAAACACAACTGGAATTATTTCTGAAACAATCAATGTTTTTCCAACAGAAACTAGAGAACTATTCAACCAAGATGTGAAATAAAAACAGAAGACAAACTGCAGACGACTGACGTGGTTCACAGTTGAAACGTGAAAGGAAAGAGTTTAAAGAAACACCAACGAGGAGCTCAGTTTTTTTTTAAAGGAAATGAAGATGACAAGATAGGAAGAGGATTGATCTTCATCACTTTAGATTAAAACAGATACTTGAAAGCTTAAAACTTTTATTAGAACAAAGAAGAATTCAACAAAAACGGTTTATAAGATTTAAAACACACATTTAGAACAACAATCATTCCTTTCCAAAAATCACTACGAGTTAAACTGACTTTACAAAAAACAAATTATAAATTAAATTATTTTAGGGAAAACAATCAATTATTTCACAGCCAGAAAGTTAAAGAAATCTTTTAAAACTATAATACAACAACGATGATTATAAATCAGATTCTTTTGAGGATTTTTTCTCCTAATGCACAGATAAATATTTTTAATATGAAAAAATGAGGAAAAAACAAAACCACAAAAACATTTGATTTCAGTAAAAGATGTGAGAAAATAACGAGAAGCTTAAATTAATACCTCCCTGCCAAACTAAGAGCCTAAGAACTAGTTACTTTAAACCTTCATTTTAATATTTTCTCCATAAAATAAAATCCCACAACCCACTGAGAAACTACATGGGGGTGGAGCTTTAGAGACCGAGCCGAAGCACAGCAGAGAGGGAGGAGGCGGAGCCTGGAAAATATATTTACAGTATTTTTGTAAACAACACAAACACATTGTCTGCAGTTTGTTTACAGTGAAAACACATTGTTTATTCATCGCTAGCAAACAAACAATGCATGAAAATTACTGCCAACGTGTAAACAACAACATCAAAGTTCAAAGATATAAATAAAACTCCAACCGCACAGGATAACTTGATGTCTAAAGAAAAAAAAATATTGGAAGATCTTTTGAGATCTTTCCAAAAGTGAAGATCAAGACCATTTAGCTGATATCTGAGCTGAAGCACAGCTAAATTCTAAAAACTTTTCTGAAATGTTGTTGAACTGAATGATCTGCTGCTCTGAGAAGAGTTAGCCCTGATGAGGTGTTCACAAGAACAGCACCGGATTGAAATAAAAACACTTTTATATCAACAGGAGAACCTGATTCTGACCCAACTGACTGATCACAGAATGACCTCCGCCCAAGAATTAAACGTTGGTTTCATTTCTTCCCGTGGTCTACAACAACCTTCTCCATCCTGACTGCCGTCGGAATACTCGGCTGAGGATCAACGTGTTTCCTGTCTGGAAACCTCTTCACATCAGTCTTTGTGGCATTCCTTGGCCTCTCCTTGACCAGTCTCAATGGCTCCAACTTGGCCTTGACTGGCCTCTCTGCCTCCATCTTGGCCTTGGCAGGTCTCTCCGTCTCAATCTTGACCTTGGCAGGCCTCTCCGCCTCCATATTGGCCTTGGCAGGCCCCTCTGCCTCCATCTTGGCTTTGGCAGGTCTCTCCGGCTCCATCTTGGCCTTGGCATGCCTCTCTGGCTCCATCTTGGCCTTGACTGGCCTCTCCGCCTCCATCTTGACCTTAGCAGGCCTCTCCGCCTCCATATTGGCCTTGGGAGGCATCTCCGGCTCCATCTTGGCCTTGGCAGGCCCCTCTGCCTCCATCTTGGCCTTGGCAGGCCTATCTGCCTCCATCTTGACCTTGGCAGGCCTCTCCGCCTCCATTTTGGCCTTGACTGGCCTCTCTGCCTCCA